CTATGAAAAACCCACAGGCCAACATCCTATTGAATGGGGAAAAGTTGGAAGCATTTCCACTGAGATCTGGGACCAGACAGGGATGTCCACTCTCACCACTGCTATTCAATATAGTTCTGGAGGTTCTAGCCAGAGCTATTAGGCAAGAAAAAGAAATTAAAGGGATACAAATTGGGAAGGAAGAACTCAAACTATCCCTCTTTGCAGATGACATGATTCTTTATTTAGGGGACCCAAAGAACTCTACCAAGAGACTATTGGAACTCATAGAAGAGTTTGGCAAAGTAGCAGGGTATAAAATCAATGCACAAAAATCAACAGCCTTTGTATACACAGACAATGCCATGGCTGAGGAAGAACTTCTAAGATCAATCCCATTCACAATAGCTACAAAAACAATCAAATACCTTGGAATAAACTTAACCAAGGACGTTAAAGATCTCTACGATGAAAATTACAAAACCTTAAAGAAAGAAATAGAAGAGGATACCAAGAAATGGAAAAATCTTCCATGCTCATGGATTGGAAGAATCAATATCACCAAAATGTCCATTCTCCCAAAAGCAATTTATAGATTCAATGCAATACCAATCAAGATACCGAAGACCTTCTTCTCAGATCTGGAAAAATTGGTGCTGAAATTTATATGGAGGCACAAGAGACCTCGAATAGCTAAAGCAATCTTGTACAACAAAAACAAAGCCGGAGGCATCACAATACCAGATTTCAGGACATACTACAGGGCAGTTGTAATCAAAACAGCATGGTACTGGTACAGAAACAGATGGATAGACCAATGGAACAGAATTGAAATACCAGAAATCAACCCAAACATCTACAGCCAACTTATATTTGATCAAGGATCTAAAACTAATTCCTTGAGTAAGGACAGTCTATTCAATAAATGGTGCTGGGAAAATTGGATTTCCACGTGCAGAATCATGAAGCAAGACCCCTACCTTACACCTTACACAAAAATCCACTCAACATGGATTAAAGACCTAAATCTACGACCTGACACCATCAAGTTACTAGAGAACATTGGAGAAACCCTTCAAGATATTGGCACAGGCAAAGAGTTTCTGGAAAAGACCCGGGAGGCACAGGCAGTCAAAGCCAAAATTAACTATTGGGATTGCATCAAATTGAGAAGTTTCTGTGCTGACATTCTTAACTAACGCTGTCTGAATCATAGTTAAATAAAGCAAAGAACTACATCCTTTATTCAAAATCTGCATCAGGAAAATAATGTTCAATATATTGGAAATAAAGCTGCTGAATATTGTGTTATCATATGCAATAGCCATAAGTAATGGACATTCTTATTTCTTATTGATCAAGTTATTTGATATTCAGTAAATTCCTGGTCAAATTACAAGTAGTATTTTAGTATATATTTTATTTCAAGCCTGTTATGTATTTTTTGGAATTGCTCTTTATTCAAAAATATGTTATCTCTCCTACACTTCTGTAATAGATTTTCATAACTACAGAGAAGTTAATGTAGGAGAGACGTGTTGAGGGATGTGTAGGCAGGATTCCTGAATATTCAGAATCTGCACAGTGCTAGAGACCGAATTGGAGGAGCCAAACCTGTTGGGTTCGTTTTGACTTCAGTTTCTGAGAACTTGATTTGTGAGTTAGACATTATAAACCTATGTAATGATATCTGGAGGAAAGTAGTATTTCCATGATGGAAACTTCTAGAAGCCTAGTCCCCTTTCTCTTTCAAACAAAATTCCAATGGATAATGCTGAATTTGAAGGCTGAGCCCAAACTGATTGTCAATAATAATGTTAGTTGGAGCAAAAGATAGAGCTTTAACTTTTGGAAACATTGTACAAGGAAATGTAATTTTGAAGAGTGCCATTGTAATATCTCCTGATATTTATGATTGAGATTCCATATTTTTTTTTTTTTTTTTGACAGGCAGAGTGGACAGTGAGAGAGAGAGACAGAGAGAAAGGTCTTCCTTTGCCGTTGGTTCCCCCTCCAATGGCCGCTGCGGCCGGCGCGCTGCGGCCGGCACACAGCGCTGATCCGATGGCAGGAGCCAGGAGCCAGGTGCTTTTCCTGGTCTCCCATGGGGTGCAGGGCCCAAGCACCTGGGCCATCCTCCACTGCACTCCCTGGCCACAGCAGAGGGCTGGCCTGGAAGAGGGGCAACCGGGACATAATCCGGTGCCCCGACCGGGACTAGAACCCGGTGTGCCGGCGCCGCTAGGCGGAGGATTAGCCTAGTGAGCCGCGGCGCCGGCCGAGATTCCATATTTTTAAGTTTTATACATTGTTAAAAGATTCAATTGCAAAATTTGAGTTTTGTGTTAGGTAAAATACATTGATTTTAAGGTTATTTTTAATTTTATATTTTATTGTGTATATTTATGTTTTACATATATCATTTTGTCTTTTATAATTTGTGTAATGGATGAAATTTATTTTTTTACTTTTTATTTTAATTTTAATAGATTTTAACAGATTCAGTATGATTTGTCAATATAAGTCTAAGAACATAATGATATTCCCCTCTTCCTCCCCTCTTCCACGTTTCTTCCTCTACCTTCTACATTTATATCTTTTTTTAAGTTTTTGAGATAACATATTTTAAATTTACTTTTTGAACACCTTGAAAATTTTCTCAAAGAAGGACCTCAATTTGAATGAAATGCCATAAAAGCAATTGCAAAATAAAAGTTGGTATTTTGTGAAACCGGAATACATGTGCTCATGCGTAATGTTCTTGAAATCCACCTCAGCATAAATCCGTTTTCAAATTTAAAGTGGCATTGAAACCATTTCTATGCTCATGTACGAAGCACATATTCTTCAGACCTCTGACAAGACAAACCAAAAAATGCACAAAGAGTGTTAATGTCTCTACTGATTCTTAGTCTAGTTTCACTTTGCACCTGTCTTAAGATCACAAGCAACCTTTTTGCAGTTATGCTGATCAGCTCTTTATATTCCAGCTACTTGTCTGCAGGCAACCAGTTCTGTCTTTGGCCATCTGAAAAAAATATACTTCATTTTCCTAAAACATTTCTAAGTGGTTAGTGGTGCAGCTTTCATTCTGACTTCTGAAAAGACAAAGTATTTTTTCATAAGTAAATGATGTCCCAGTATTAAACTTGGTGGTATTTAAATTATTTTTAAGACCTGTCTCAAGTACTGTTTCTTTACTAAAATCATTCACTCAGGGTCTAGTGATGTGACACAGTGGATTAAGCAGTTGCCTGCAATGCAGGCATCCTGTATTAGAGGTCAGGTTTGAGTCTACACTTCTCTGCTTCCGATCCTGCTCCCTGCTTATGTGCCTGGAAAAGAGCCCAAGTGTTTGGGCCCCTGACACTCTTGTGGGAGACCTGGATGGAATTCCAGACTCTTGGCTTTAGCCTGGCCCAGCCCCAGCCATCGTGGTCATTTAGGAAGTGTACCAGCAGATGGAAGATCTCTCTCTCTCTCTCTCTGTAACTCAGCCTGTTAAATATGTAAAATGAATCGTTTAAAAACATCATAAATGAAATCATTCATTCAGATAATATAATTCTTCAATATTGATATTTTGCTGACTGGGAAAATTAAAACGCATTTGCTCACCATAGTTAACTCCAGAGGAATGGATTTTAGAATAAGGATGACTTCAGTTTTGTAGGTTTTTCATATCAACTAAGTGAGGCTGTCT